ATTTGAATTATTTAAGTATAATTTTATTTTTATGACTATTCTTTTTTCTGTATATCCTTTTATTGGTACATTTTAGGTATACAATATAATGACATTCATCACTGGAAATTTGCACCTTTACGTACTCTCTTTGTTATTAATTTTTCCTGCTTCCCCTGCCCTCCCTTCAACCAATCCATCCCTCCCTGTTTACAAAGACTTAGTTTCCTTTGTTTCATTTTCTCATATTAATTCCATTCCCTTCTTTCTTTTCCCCTCCCCTCCCACTTCCCCTTCCCCTTTGCCCCTTCTCTTCCTATTTCACATTATCTATTATAACTTTTACTCCTTATTTACACTTTCAGTTTCTCACACTAGAGAAACTATTCAGTATTTACATGTGTGTCCTATTTATTTCACTTAAGAGTATCGCCTCAATGTGCATCCATTTAGCAATAAATGTTTCTAATTTCTCATTTTTTTATGTCTGAGTAGTACTCCATTTTATTAAAAAACACACACACACACACACATTTCCTTTATCCAGTCTCCAGTTGATGGGCATTTGGGCTGCATCTAAGTTTTAACTATTACAAACTGTGCTGTTATGAACATGAGTGCACATATATCACTGTGGTGTGATTCTTTTAATTCTTTGGGGAAGATCCCCAGCAGTGGAATAGTGGGGTCAAATGGGACTTGCAGTCCAAGTTCTTTGAGGTATCTCCATACTGATTTCCACAGTGGTTACACCAGTCCACACTCCCACCAGCAGTGGAGCAGTGTTTCTCTTTCCCCACAGCAGCCCCAGCATTTGTTATTGGTTGATTTCTTGATAGCGGTAAATAATTCTGGGATGAAGTGGAATCTTAGCTTTGTTTTCATTTGCATCTCTTGAATGAGGAGTGATGTTGAACATTTTTTCATATGATTATTGCCATTTCTACTTTTTTGTGTGAGAAATGTCTGTTCATTACAGATGCCCATTTTCGGATTGGGTCTTTAAATTTGGGAGGTCTGATCTTTTTAAGTTCTTTATAGATTCGAGATAGTAGACCTCTGTCTGAGGGACCACTGGTGAAAATTTTTTCCCACATTGTGGGTTGTCTCTTCACACTGCTGCTGGTTTCTCGTGCTGTGCAGAAGCTTTTTAATAAGAAGAGATCCTACTTGTTGATTGTTTGTGGTAGTTCACGGGCATCTGAGGTTTTGTTTATAAATTCTTTTCCTACACCAACGTCTTCAAGAGTTCTACCTAACCTCTGTTCCAGCCGATTCTGCGTTTCTGTTTTAAAATTTAGATCTTTAATCCATTTTGATTTAAGTTTAGTTCATGGTGAGAGATATGGGTCTAGTTTTAGTCTTTGACAAATTGAAACCCAATTTCTCCAGCACCATTTATTAAAGAGGCTATCTTTCTTCCAGTGAGGTTGTTTGGCTCCTTTGTCAAAGATAAGGTGGCTGAGTTTGTCTGGAGTTGATTCTGCATCTTTTAATCTATTCCATTGGCCCTCAGGACTGTTTCTTTGCCAGTACCATGCTGTTTTTATCACAGTAACTTTGTAGCATAGTTTCAAGTTGGGGGTTGTAATACCCCCTGCCATGTCTCTGTTACCTAGAATTCCTTTTGCTACTCTGGTGTGTCTCTTCTTGTTCCAAATGAATATTTAGATTGTTTTCTCAAGGTTCATGAAGTATGCTGCTGGGATTTCAATTGGGACTGCATTGGATCTATATAGCAGTTTTGGAAGTATGGCCATTTTCACTATATTAATCCTTCCTACCCAGGAGCAAGGGATCTCTTTCCATTTTCTGATATTGTCTTCAATCTCTCTTTTCAGAGTGCTATAGTTTTCAGAGAAGAGTTCTTTGATTTCTTTTGTTAGGTTGATTCCTAGGTATTTCGGCTTTTTGGATGCTATTGTGAAAGG